AGCAAAAGACAAAGGCTGAGTTATCAAATGCCTCACTGAGGTGTCAGATGTACCATAAAACTCATGATATTTCCCAACTTGAAATTACTGTCACCATAATCCAGCCAAGAGGGGCAACAAGGAGAACCAACCCTTCCACTGCAAGGCTGCTTCTGTGCAGCATCACATTCCCATGCACAGGACACTGATGTTATGAATACTATATAACTTAAGAACTGTTCAGCAGATCTTGATCTTACATACAAAACCACAGGAATACAAAGGCCCAGTCTGTGCTAAACCACAACCTTGCTAGTAACAAGCCTATTTACACACAGGTGACAGAGGCAGGACCATACTAATGTGGTAACAATTTTCTTTTACGATTGTAATCCAGAATAACGTGCTCCATTAACCCCAATAAATAGTACTGAGATACAGTGCAGTTAAAAAATAAATAAATAAATAGTTCCTTAACTGTCAAAAGCTGCTAGCACAGCTCCCAATTACACAGTGGAGAGAGCTAACATTTACCAATCTTCCACTGAAAAGCCACAGAAGGAAAGAAAGAAGGAAAGAAAAGCCTTTCCTGACATCAGTCTTTCGGTTTTGGTGGTTGAACTGGGGAAAAAAAAAATCAATCGGCCCCAAAATGAAAAACATTCAGGTTACAAACAATCAACAAGATGTAGCTAATACCCCACCCCCCAAAATCTACCATTATTGTTCATATTTGTTTCCCAAATGAGTTAAGCTCCATTGAGAAATGAATGTCTGCTGGTCTAACTGCTACCACTACAAGAAATAATGGCCACAAGCTAGCAGAGAGCAGATTTAGACTGGACATTAGGAAGAACTTCTTCACAGTTAGTGGCCAAGGTCTGGAATGGGCTTCCAAGGGAGGTGGTGCTCTCCCCTACCCTGGGGGTCTTCAAGAGGAGGTTGGATATGCATCTAGCTGGGGTCATCTAGACCCAGCGCTCTTTCCTGCTTATGCAGGGGGTCGGACTCGATGATCTATTGAGGTCCCTTCCTACCCTAACATCTATGAATCTATGAAACAAAGAAAACTGAAGGAAAAAGGAACTGTTTTGATATTGGGGGCAGGGGGGGGGAAGAGTCATTGTGGGAGATTTTACTCTTTTTTAATGCTAAATCAAGCTACATTTCTAAATGAAATGCCTTCTGGGGAAACAAGGTCAAAACATTTCATTTCAAAACTGCTGAAATAAAATGTTTTTACTTCATCTGAAAGTTCTCCTCTAGTTCAACTATTCGAGTGATTCAGCACCCCTCTCCATTATCCCCTCTCCAACAGGTTCATTAGCTTTCTTCCTACTTCTCAAAACCAAGCCCCAACACTTGATTTTTTTCAGGCTGGAAGCAAGCTGCTTCATGAAGTACCAGCACTTACTTGGAAGGTTAAAGGCAGTGATGTAGGGAACAATCTGCATTCCAATATGAAAGCCAGCTCTAACAAGCTTTCAACAAATCCTGGATTTACTGAACTAGGTCTGCAGAAATGTTGCAGGTTTGGTTAACCTCACCATGCATTTGATACTTTAATCCAATTATACTGCATGTTCTACACTATAACAGGCAGGTTAATCACTGCTAAAATTACTCTCTAGCCCTGTGAAAATATCTGCTTTCTTACACGCTGCATGCAATGCTAAAAAAAGGGATCTTTTTAATATATGTAACAATACGAGTGATGAGCTTGCTGCACTTCATTCCTGTACTAGTGACAGATTTAAAATAGCTTACCAGTGACAATTCACGCTCAGTGGCTTGGTCTGACTGATGTTAGGCCAAACAAAGTATACTGCCACGCCACCCTTAGTACCTCTGAGGGTGAACTTGATATTTTTTTTACATCAAAAGGAAATTAGTCTCCAGCTAGTGTGGAGCTTCAACCTTTTTCTTTCTTTTTCTGTAACTGACTTCTATTCAAATATTTTTCATATGTTCTTCAGCACTTGAATGGTGGGGAAGGGTTGTCTTCTAACCTGTTGAGGGGATCAGACGATTCTTACATGTTTGTAAAAAGGATACAGATGGTAATTTCACTAGGGTTGGTAGTGACTCAATGATATTATTCACAGAAGTGGGTGGTGAATTGTATTAAACAATATGGTGTTCTCAAAACTACTCCTTATGGACGGGTCACCATTGGTGATTGGGCTGTGTTTCATACTCGTTTTGCACGGGTGTAAAGGACAGCACAAGGCAGTGGAGGATCAGGCCCTCAATGAGCACAAATGGCTCTGTGGGTTAAATGGAATCAGCCAGGTGCCAGCCTGAGACAATGAGGGACTGGTACTGCACAGGATCGCATTGGTTGGTTTATTTAAACATGGCTATGCACAAAGTATGCGATCTACCTGTCATGCATCCAGTCTTGCAAGTTAAAATGACCAGGCTAAATAGACCACAAATCCAGTGGGCAAAAGATGCAGACGTTTGGAAATGTAGGTGACAAGTGTCACCTGCCCCCTTGCCTGTCTGCACAACCTCAACATTCACCTTTGTCCCTCACTGATTCCATTAGCCTCTACAAGTGCTGGTAAGCCCTCTGTTGTCACTGTATACTTGACTGAGCAAGCAAGAACTGAATTGCCGCAGATGATTATCTGAAGTTAATCTAGCAGAGCAAGGATTATTCTGCAAGTCATGTCATCACTTCCCCAAGAGGTACACAACTGGAGAGGCAAACTTACAATATTTAATATGTAGAGGGGGCTGATTCTGAGCTCAGAGCAGTGTTAACTTCACTGGCTTTGACAGCATTAATGCAAACAAGAGGAAGTTCGCACCCACTGCTCCCAAGGCACCGAGTAAGGTTATTGCTAACGTAATTTCTCTTAGTTTCACAGACCTCTGTTCTCTGTTTACTTCAGCCTCCAAGGGAAATGCAGACCTGTCTGGTGTCTCCAGTTTGTCTCTCTCACTTCCTTCCTTTTTTTAAGTTAGTGACCTGATTTTCCAAAGTGCCAGGCGTCCATGACACCCACTGAATTCACCATTCACTTTTTACAAGCCATCTTGTGGCCCAGATACTGAAGGTGACTGCTCTGAGCCGTTTACAAGAGTGGGTCCTAAGCAAATCAAATCACTTTCATTTGAGTACTGAAATAGAATCCATCTGAGATTAGCAAGAATTATTGTGTGTCATTTATTTGTTTCCTTAGCTATTCTAGCTCCCTTCTGTCCTACTGGGCAAGGTTGGTTTATATCCCTTTCCCCCCAACCCTAGTCCAGGCTGCTTCATTCACAGGGATGAAAAATCACTATAAAATGGAAAGGATCACCTGCCAAACTTAGCTGACAGTACTTAGGGTGATCTTTTGCTTTTAGCTTATAACCAAAATATCAGTTCATTAGTGTTCCCCACCACTGCAGTATACTCAAACTAACCAGACTCATAGCCAATTTCATTTTGTAGGAGACTGATTACAATCCAAAGGGAAAACAGAAATTAGGAAACAGCAAAATGATCCAGGAACACTAAAAGCAGATGAAAAACATTCAGTAGGAATGGGCAAGACAATGCCCAGAGAGTTCGTTTCACACCCATCTCGCTTTCTAGCTGTCAAACCCTGTCATGTCTGCACATGGACCTAAGTTTCCTGCATCAAAGGATTTGGCTCACTAATGACATGCTGCAACAGAGGAGGAATGCAGCAGAACATTGTCACAGATCGTGGACATCGTTCCGCATTTCCTTTCATTCCAACACACTTCTACTGCATAATGTTTTCTTTTAAAAAAGGAGAAGAAAGTACTGCAAACATTATTGCAGTATTTTTTAGCTAGCTTGACCTCTGTAAGATTGATGTTAACGTACTGAAAAAAGAATAGTACTGTTAATGCTGTAATATATAATGGTTTGTCAGCACTTCCACACAAAGGATATCCCACTTTCAGACATTTGGAAATCATCCACACAAACTTATTTCAGGTGGAAAACTGGGATCAAGTGTTGGTTTTACATGGGGAAAGAAAAAAATCAGACCAGCCTAAAAGAAGGTGAAGGGGAAAAGTTACTTTCAAAGAGTCTTTCTTTGTATTTTTATGATAGAAAAATGGCTTCATTTTCAAGAAGGAAGTTTAGCAAGCGAGTACTTGTTTCAGAAGTATATATATAGATCCCCAACAGCTAAGCATGACGACCTTATATTAATAAAAAAGCCTTATTAAATAATATGACACAACCTTGTACTTACTAACAGAAGAACTGTTCCACATTATTTCTAAAGGTCAGACCAATCCTTTACCAGACAAACAGCTCTTACGCTCTGCCCTTAAACTCAGTAAAATCCAGGTCTGGCAGACTGCCAGAGACACAAGGTTCCGTTGGCACTGGTTTCTGCTGAGAATGCCCCCCTGCCAGTCAGCAACACAGACAGAAAATGACTACAGAGTATCCACCCTCAGTGTGCAAGACACTCTCTGTTAGCTGTCCCTGACCATTTACACCTTGAAATGCACCTGCAAGGTGGTGACTCCTGCGTGATTCATGCAGATCACACACGTGCAGGTTCATAATGGCTTTGCCATGCTCAAGAGATGAGCTGCAGCAGTCCATAGTGGCTGAAGATCTCAAGCCTTTTTGAATACACTCTGTATCTTTTGGGTCATTTTTTGAGGGGGGAGGAAGAAGGAAGTGTAACATAGTCCTATTTATTGAGGTTTAAGCTATTATCTATTAAACGTCCGAACAAAACTTTCTAGGGATATGGCTTGATGTTAAGGGAGTCTGCTAGAGAATAGGCCTGTTGGACCTTTCCAGTGGTGCACGACACATTCCCAAGTTATGCACTAGAGCTAAGGTATTCTAACTACGGTGACTTTTTATCAAGGTGCCATCATCATGGCCTCAAGGTGGAGGCTGAACCAAGATGCCAGTGCAAAGTGCAGATAACATTTAATAACCCTGTGATGGATTATTTAAATATACAGCACTTCAGACATGTAAAGCAGCAAACGCCAAGTACTGTTATTTCTTTGGAGCGCCTCACCTGTTCTCCAGCAGTGTCATGCACACAACCTCACGCACACCTGGGTTGTTGGCCTTTTCAGTGGAGCAGCTTTGCAGGTTCCAGGTGGCCACCCGCAGCACAGGCCTGCCGTCCCTCACCCCACCAAACATCTCCACAGTGGGACGGGTGGATATAATCTGGGTCGGGCCCCCAGGTGGGAAATCCAAGTCCTCACTCTGCAAGCTCAGAGAGGTGGGGCTGGGGTGAGGCTTGGCGGTGAAATTGAGGCCGCCATTGGTATTGGTGGAAGGGGGCCGGGACCTCTCTGCGAAAATCTGATGCCTGATTTTGTCCAAGAACGAGGAGTTAATGCAGTCCATCCTCACCAGGTCCTCAATGCTTTTGAAGGGCCCGTGCTCTTTGCGGTAATCGACGATGCTGTTGGCTATCTTCTCGGTGACGCCACGGATGCTCATGAGCTGGGCCGGCGTGGCCGTGTTAATGTTGACTTTGGCGGCGCAGAGGTGGTGCTCCGGGTTCGGGTCCTTCCTCAGCGAGCTGGGCGAATGCTGGGCAGAGCCTCCTTTGCTGCTCACGCAAATCTCGAACTTCACTTGCTCCAGCTTGGCCGCCCCCACCCCGCTCACCAGCGCCAAGTCCTCCACTTTCTTGAAGCCGCCGATGTACTCCCGGTACTCCACGATGTTCTGGGCCACCATCCTGGTGACCCCGGGGAGGGTCATCAGCTCCTCCTCTGTGGCCGTGTTGATGTTCAGCCGCTCCTGGTTCACGAGGATGTTGCTGAAGTTGCAGGCGGCGCTGAACTTGCGGCTGTGGCAGATGTCCGAGGGGTCCCTGGGGATGGAGCGGTGGCAGCCCAGGTTGCCCCCCATGGCGGCGGCAGCGAGGGCTGCGCTCGAGTTTCAGACGAGTCCTCGGCACCGGCTGCGGCTGCCCGGGACACACGTCTCAACCGGGGGGGGCGGGGGAAGATGCCCCTCAAGCCCTGCAGTGAGCCCAGCCCGCCGGTGCCAGCACTGCCTCAGGCGGAGGG